CTAGCCTTCTCGGACAAGGGCGAAAAATCTCGGAGGGCCCGTGTGCAAGTTGCGCACGTTAAAGATCCCTTGGTGGTCTAAAATCGATTAGAGCAGGCTTCGGCCGCCACCTGCGCAAAATTCAAAATTTCCTACCAACTGAAAATGATTAGTGTGTCCCGCGCGCTCATATGACCGTATGCAGTTGCGAGCGCCGTAAAACACTTTACAAAAACAAAAACAAACAGGACTATTGGGGAGGTCAGGTTGTGACGGATCGGTTTGCTCGACAGACTGATGGCGCAAAAGTGGCTATCGTGGCACAAAAATCGATTGCGCCCGACATATTGCCTCAAAAACAAACGCGTTGTTTTCAGGCAACAATTTGGGCGATCATCCCGACCCGATCTCTTCCGCAATGGGCTCTGGACACCCCGTAGTGCTAAGGAAGTGGTAGATCTAATTTCAGGTCCAAATTTTCCCCCTTCGTGTTGTTTGTTTTAGTTGTGGAAGAAAATTTCGGTTATTTTTACCGAAATTAAATGATTATTTTTCCAACTTTTGCGGAAAATTGCCTAAAATTCACGAATTCACAAAAATGGCAAAAGTTGCGCTGAGGCCTTGCGGGTTGCGCGCGCAAATTTCTGAGGACAGCGGTTTCCATTTTATACAGGTTACCGTTAAGGCAGGTTTGACTGTATCATAATCCATTGTCATAATTCTAGAGTCTAGATATCTAAATCTAGATAGATCTAGATCTCGAATCTAGATCTAGATAGATGTAGTATAAAAATTTGTGAAAGACTTTAAATCTTAGGCCAGGAGGGTAGATCTGGACATGGATCGATTCTTTCAGAAAACCCCTAAGGGGTCGTTCAAATATAATCAATCTTACGCCTGGAAAAGGCGTAAAAGGGGGGGTGGGGGGTATTACACTTTTATAAGGTGAAAAAATAACAAGGAAAATAATTTATAACAACATACATTTTTTTAAACAGAACACGACATAAGAAAGAGTGAACTATACTATTCTCTTAGAAGTTTTTCCGGAAAACTTCTGCTTATACCATATTTAATTATTATGTCACATGTGTGTATGCATGTTTTTCATGAATACTGTTAAGTAAAAGTAAAGTGCATAGAACAGTGATTGTAACACTGATTTGAGCAATATAAATGTCATATTATTATAAGCGAATAAATATTAGTATTACAGGATTTGG